TTTAACTTTTTTTAGATCCTTTTCAACTCTTTTGAGATTTGGGGCTGCAGTTGAGATATTATTTGAGCTTTTGAGATGTTAATCAGCTGCAGTTGGTTGTAGAAAACTGCCTTGTTGCCATGGTTACGCATCATAAATATACAAAACAAAAAAAAAGTTTCAGTAAAAATCCTTCCAGCTGCACAGCATCCGATACCAGAGGAAACAATCATCCAAAAAATGTGATTTACATCCAGAAAAAGAGGAATTAAAGTTTCCAAAAGCAAAATCTCAGAATGAAAGTAACAGAGCTGCTCCAACATGCAACCACCTTGAGCAGCGCAATTCTATAACAATTCTAGAATCTTATTTTTCTTTATCACTCCTGTTGTTGCTGCAATTCAAGCTTGTGCAATATGTTTGTTTTCCTTAGGCTACTGTTATTCTTTCAGCCCTATGTCAGTTATTTGTTATAGATATTTTGTTTACTAACATATTAGCATAAGCATTGTTGTAGAATGTAGGCCTTTTCAAAATCTATTTTTTTCATGCATACACCAATTCTATTCTGTGGTGTAGTGTGGGTGTAGGTTAAATCTCTCCGTCATCAGTGACAGCATGACTCACGTTAATTTTGCACGACTTTCTTTTAGGTCTAAATTAAAATAGCCTTGTTCTACATTTTCCCAAATAATTTTGGTCTAAAATTATTTTTGTTCATCTTTATAATAGCCTATCTTTAGTGTTGATTTTTTTAGGATATTTGTTTTGTATGCTAATGTAAGAAATCCATTTCGTGACTTGTTAATTAATAAACAAGAAATCTTATATTTTCCTTTCTTTGAAATATGTTTTTAAAACTATCATGTCAAACCGATTTTCTTACAAAAGCAGTAAAAGCTGAATTAAAATAACATTCATTCAACCTTTATTTCTACAGGTAAATCCCATTGAGCCTCGAGGACTCATTTACAAGAGAGACCTGATTTCAACAAAGAAAGATGACAACAATGGACAACAGCAACAACAATAAACAGTTATAAAAAAGTCATCCATTCAGCAACATGTCAGGTTTGTGCTTCTAATTAGAGTTAATAAGTTGGGTCAGATTGGGCTCAGACACAATGCCTATGGGCTCGGGCTGTGTCGGACTTTTTAGGCCCAAATGCAACTCTACCAGAAAGGTTTCCAGCCAGGATTTGATCCGGCAACCTTCACGCTGAGAGGCGGCAGCTCTACCAACTGCGCCACCCACATTACAAACTTGTTTCGAACAGTTCAAATCTGTGGATTAATTTTGGACCAGACATGACTCTTACCGATACCAGGGACACCAAGCGCAGGAGTTGCCATCTTTTCCTACAACCCGTAAAGTGAAGGGGTACTGGTAACCCATGCTGTCATCACTGTGAGCAAAATGGAAGAGACAGTGGATCAGATCTCTATTGTCAAGATTCAAGGTTCTTTATTGTCATTTGCATCACATGTGGTACATGAGGTGGAAAGAAATTGTGTACTCAAGGTCCCCATTACACTCCAAAATAGCAAAAATATGAAGTATATAAAAAGATACAGTGTAAGAATAAGGATATATAAGGACCTAAGATATAGGCTAAACAATAATAATATATTGCAGTGTATTAGAGTATCCTGAAAATGAGTCTGTTGTGAGCAGATGGGTATGAAATACAGTAGTTCCTCATTTATCGAGGGTGTTAGGGATCATGACACCCCCCCACCCCACCCGCACGCGATAAGTGAAAAAAAACACAATGTAGGGATAGTAGTTCAAGTAGTAGTACAAGTAGTAGTAAGTATAATGACAATAAAGGTTAATACAGGATAAAGGTTTAATGAAAGTAGTAGTTTATTTTAGTGTGTGTATATATATATATATATATATATATATATATATATATATATATATACAGACCCTTTCCAAAAAATTACAATATTCCATAATTCCATTCAAAAAGTTAATCTTTATTAGATGATAGATTCAGGGCCCACAATTTAAACAATTTCAAGTATTTAATTGCTTATTTTTTACATAATTTGGGCATCCAGCTCATAAAACCCACAAAAACAGGAATTCAAAAAAATTAGTATACTTTGGAGAAATCAGCCCAAAGTTTGCAGGGCATGAATGTTTTAAACTGAGTGTGACACTAATCACCTACTAAACTCAAAGCACCTGCACAGGTTTCCCCAGGTGTCATTAAATTGCTTCGTTTTGGTTAAATATGGGGAAGACTGCAGACATAACTGTCCAGAAGACCATCTTTGATACCCTCCATAGGATGGGTAAGCCACAAAAGTTCATTGCTAAGGAGACTGGCTGTTCACAGAGTGCTGTGTCCAAGCATATCAATGAAAAGTCTTGTAGAACTGCAAATGTAGCAGGAGAAGAAGCACCAATTAATTTCAATTCAGTTTATTTATATAGCACCAAATCACAACAAAGTTGTCTCAGGGACTTTACAGAAACATTCACATACATAAAAGCCAATTAGTAAAGTTCTCTATCTAAAGAATCCAGCAGACAAGTTGAATCTTGGCTTCATCACAGTCTCCAATCCTGAGCAAGCACAGTGGCAACAGTGGAAAGGAAAAACTCCCTTTTAAAAGGAAGAAACCTCCAGCAGAACCAGGCTCAGGACAAGCGGCCATCTGCTTTGACCGGCTGGTTTGAGAGGACAGGAAGGAGAGACAAATGAACACAGAATGGTAGGTCCAGGTATAGGTCCTGGTATATCTGAAAGACAAAAAACACGTTAAGGATAGACAAAATAATTACAAATACAAAACAGGTTGAGCAGAGTAAGTAAAGACAGTAGCAGAGTGAAAAAGTGTGGTCAGTTTGTCCTCCAGCAGTTTAAGCCTATAGCAGCATAACTAAGGGACAGCTCAGGAAACCCAAGCCGACCCTAACTATAGGATTTAGCAAAAAGGAAAGTCTTAAGCCTAGTTTTAAAACTGGATAATGTGTCAGCCTCACGGACAGAGATTGGAAGTTGGTTCCACAAGAGAGGAGCCTGATAACTGAAAGGTCTGCCTCCCATTCTGTTTTTGAAACTTCTAGGAACCACAAGAAAACCTGCAGTCTGAGAGCGAAGTGCTCTGTTAGGAAAATATGGAACAATAAGATCTGTAATATAAGATGGAGCCAGGTTGTTGAGAGCTTTGTAGGTTAGAAGTAATATTTTGAATTCTATTCTGGATTTGACAGGGAGCCAATGGAGAGAACCTAAAACTGGAGAGATATGATCTCTGACTGGGATAAGTCGACCTCCCTCTGTGATAAATTCAAGGAATGTTGCCTGTCTCTCAATCTAACCCAACTAATCAACTCTCCGACTAGATTAAACAAAAACCGTCCTGAAAAATCCTCCATCTTGGACCTGTTTCTAACAAATATGCCTCACAAATTCCCTGGTACAGGTGTATTCACTAACATTTTGAGTGATCACTGTGTGACAGTGACTCTGAGAGATATTAAACTTCCACCTTCTAAGCCCAGATTAATTCAAAAAAGGGATCTGAAACGTTTTTGTGAACAGTCATTCCTCTGGGATCTGTCTCACTTTGATTGGCATTGTATTATATTAATTGATGACGTGAACTCCGCTTGGAACTATTTTCATAATAGTTTCATTTATTTTGTGAACAAACATGCTCCTTTTCGTCAGTTCAGAATAAAGGGACGAGACAGCCCCTGGTTTACTCCAGAGCTAGCTGACCTCCTGCACAGGAGAGACCATCTTTGAACACAGCGAGAAAATCTGACTCAGACACTGATTGGTTGAATTTTCGACAGATGAGGAATAAATGCACAACTGCCATCAAAGCCGCAAAACGTAACTATTTTTTATCTCAGACCTCCAAATATCTAAATGACCCTAACAGATTCTGGAAAACCATCAAATCTCTCTCAGGCACCCCCCCCCCCCCCCAATCATCTGACCTCCCAGCACAACTTCTCATTAACTCTGTTCCTGTGTCAAATAAGCACGAGATCCTGAACTGTTTCAACAAACATTTTGTTGCTTCTAGTTCTTTATTTGACACAGTTACTAATGGAAAATCAGCCACTTCACTTAATAACCAAACTTCTACAAATCAAATCCCTCCTACAAGTCAATCCTCAGTTAATCACACCTTCTCTTTTTCTCCGTTCTCAGTCAGTGAGGTCAATAAACTGTTAAAAGGTCTTGATCCTAAAAAATCTGCAGGACCAGATTAACTACCGCCTTATTTCTTAAGGCTGACTGCTCATATCATCACAGTCCCTGTGACCCACATCTTCAATCTCTCCATAAGACAAAACTCCATTCCAGACACTTGAAAAACAGCCTTTGTTCTTCCTTTGCTGAAGGGAGGTGACCCCACCTCACTGAACAACGATCGGCCAATCTCTAAACTCTGCATTTTAGCCAAGGTTCTAGAAAAACTGATAAAACTCTCAAATCAAAAATTACCTGGACTCATTTAACATCTTACCTCTCCATCAATCTGGTTTCAGGAAACAACACAGCACAACCACTGTCTCACTGAAGGTTCTTAATGACGTTGTTGAAGCACTGGATGCTAAGGATTATTGTGCTGCACTTTTCTTAGACCTGTCTAAAGATTAAAGATTCTGTGGATCATAACATCTTGTGTCATAAACTCTCAGAAATCGGTTTCTCAGAACACACCATTGGTTGGTTCTCTAACTATCTCTCAGACCGGAGGCAATGGGGCCGGTTTGCGGTCACTGTCGAGTGGGTGGGGGGTGGGGCGCATGGACGGTCCAAAAGAGGCTCTGTTGGGCTGTCTCTGTGTGCCTGTTTATGTCTTGGGTTGGGTGGTACCCTCTCTTGGATCAATTTGGGCCCCCCATTTAATGTGGGGTCTACTTCCCCCTGTCGCACTCCCCTCCGGTGGTGGGCCCCCCTGTCGCCGGTGCATTGGCGGCTCTCAGCATCTGGGGCTGGGTGGTGGGGTGTGCGCGGGCCCGCCCTGGTGGCTGCCTGCCAGGGCCTGGGTGCCCTGGCTCTGTCGGGCCTCTGTTGGGGGGGTGGTATGACCTCGGGACTCTGTGTCCATGGCCGGATCTACTCTGGAGGGGCGAGTTGCCGGCGGGGCCTGTGGACTCGTCGCTGCAGCTTCCTGGGGTTTCTGCATTGTGGTTTCTGGGGATCACCCGAGACTTCCCTTTGCTTCTCTCTCCGGGGGGTGCGGGTGTCCCTGTTGGGGGACTCCCAGAGCTCCGGGCTTGGGGATCGCTGTGTGTCTGTAACTCCGGTCTTCCCTGTGTTACCCTCGCGTCCTGTGGGGACGGGTCTGTGGATCCCCACATCCACTATTGAACATTTTTATGGAGAAACCTTATAGTGATAAGCATGCTCACACAGGTGTTTAGATCCAGGTGTTTATAAGATACACACTCAATTGGGTTGTGGTGGCCACTAAATATATCGTCCACGTACTGTATAAAATACTTTCTAACGATGTTATAAGTATAATTATATATGTTGCTTGTTGTTGTGGTTTCTCGGTTTTGTCTTGTCCGGTTCAAAAATGGGTCAGTTTGATGTTATAGGACTGCAGAGAAGCCGAGGAAGCTGCCGTCCTTCAGCTTGCTTGAAGTGAACTGTAACCTGAATGAACAAGGAGGTACTTTCGAAGACCATCCCCCAAGATAGACGTGAATTAATTTCTTCAGATAGTTCCTGTGTTGTTACCGGGTTTTGCGCTTCATGCACAGACCTGTTCATTTGTTCAGCGATAATGGAAAATGCACGGAGAATTTCTTATGATGCAGCTTTCATGTTAAAAGCGATTGGCTGTCAAGGAGGAAACAGCTGCAGCCTGTCAACTGCATGAACATGTCAATGGATTGGAGACACAAAAGCAGTCAAGTCTGGTACTTGTTTTAATAAAAGTTTTTAAATGATTTCTGTGTGACATCTTTCTGTGTTGGTAGATATGCATTTAAATATCGGGATCTCATTTTAATAGTCATATCTGAATACCGAGCGGCAAACAATAGGAGTCTTCCCCCTCCCCTTTCTGTAATGAGAGCTCAGCGAGCGGTGGACAAGTCGTTAGATTTATTTTTTTAAGCAGTCAGTCAGTCAGTCAAGACTGGTAAATATTTAAATAAAAGTAAAAAAAAAAATCTTTCTGTGTACGGTAAATATGTGTTTAAATACGAGTATCTCATTTAAGCTTAAACAGGGGCATTGAACTGAGCGGAAGAGACAACGGGGAGGGAGGAGCTGTTCCTCCTCCCCCTATGAGCTCTGCTGAGGAGAATCACATCACATTTATGTAGAAAGTTCATTTAAAAACTGCAGTTGCTAACAAAGGTGTTTACCAATAATTGGCTTTTATGTATGTGAATGTTCCTGTAAAGTGCCCTGAGACAACTTTGTTGTGATTTGGCGCTATATAAATAAACTGAATTGAATTGAACATAAATCAATGGTACTAATGTAATGAATATTTACCACATTTTACCGGTACTATTTGACTTCCGGTCACATGACCTCGATAAGATTTCTTGGTAATATTTACCGGTAAATCATTTTTAAATAACTTCAGTTACATAGGTGTTTGGCAATGATCTGTCCAGTGATTATGCTTAGATAGTTATTGTGTTCATTTTGAAGGTTTAATGGTTGCAACCATGAGACAGACAGCGAAGCTTCATTTACTTGTGATGATCTTGCAGTCTGAGTGTGTGTTGAAAGCAAACTATATTCTGTGAAACATCATTTGCTGGATGGTTCTTCTACTACAACAAGAAAGCTGCACACAGCTGGAGCAGGCTGTGGGGGTCACAGATCCTGATGATGAACAGTGGATGCCCACGGCTAAATAACCGGAGCATCTTATTTATGTACAAAATTATGATTTGTCTTATAAGTGCGGCTTAGAGACAGGTGCATTTTAAAGCCCGAGAATTACGGTATTAAAATAAAGATGCTCATGCAGCATGGATTGTTTAATTAAACTATTACAGTACAATATTTCAATTTTAATTGTTTATTTACACAGAAGGAGGGAGATTTGAAGTGATGAGCATGTGTATGATTGCAGTGGAGAAGTGGGTGGGGCAGAGGGCCACAGGTGGCAGAGACCGGAGGTCATGACACGCTGCAGGAGGGAGCTTCTCCCTGCACCTGTTGGCTGAACACAGGTACAGCAGGTGCTAAATAATTTAAAATAATTTATGTTAAATAAACAATCCATGCTGCTTGTGCAGCTCATCCATCAATCAGTCAATTGTGTGTCATGTCCAATCTTACTTTGAAAAACCGTGAAAGAGCGAGTCAGCGAAAGCCAAACCGCAAAGTAATGAGGGACTACTGTACAGCAGCTTAAAGGCAAGAAATCAGCAGTATGGACAAACACCAGCACAGATAAAGTGTCAAATCACCAATTAAAAGTGGCACTACAGTGATTTTCCTGGTTAGAGATTTATGAGTCCAACAGCTTCAGGGTAGAAGCTGTTCCTCAGTCTAGTGGTTCTACACTTAATGCTCCTCAACCACCTTCCTGAGGGGAGTGGGGCAAAAAGTGTGATCATTCAAAAGTGTTGTTCCACTTGATCTCAATGTTCAAATAATTGTTTCCTCTTTTTTTCCACTCATGGTTAAACTGGAGTTGATGGAGCAGAAATTAAAACTAAACCAATGAAAATTTAATTTTCCTTTTGTGTTTTTGCAAAACAAAAAGAATGTAATTTCTTGGTAATGTGACTTGAGATGACAGGTTGTGAATTAGCTCTATACACAAACTACATTGAATACCAGTCCTGGGCATGGTTGCTGGCCTCCTGTGGGGGCAGCGGGCTGGCCAGTCGGGTCACTTGGGTCCAGACTGCATCATACAGGTCCTTCTTACTGGTGTGGACAGTGCAAGGAACAATAAGTGGCATTCCAAACAGATTGGGCCGGTCCTTCTGAGAGGACAGGAAGTACAGCTCCATACGCATCTGAAAGAGTACAAACATCAAGTGACAGCACACAGACTTAAACATTTAATTGAAACAAACCATTTTCAAGGTCACCCAAACAATTATACAAATAATTTAAAAAACAGAAGCTCTCACCATCTTCCTGTGCATGGCAATAATATAGCCAATGAAGGGGCTCTCCTGTGTTGATGTGATGTGCCCGTTAGCAACTCCATTGACCAGGGGTGTCTCTGGGCTGGAAGGCACCATGGTGCCAGGCCCACCATAGGAGATCAGGATGGGGTTATCACCCAGATGCCCATTAGCAGCTAAGCCATTAGCTATTGGGGTGATCTCTGATGAGAGAAAGTCAAACCTTATTGTTTTTGATGCAAGATATTAAAATGGGAAGTAGTTACACTTTGTATAGAAATAAAGTTTTTTGTTGTTTTGTTTTTTGCTTGGCTGTGGTAGCAAAGATCCTGGTGATTGGAGGGAGCAGTTTTGTCCTCCAAGTGCAATGGCAGAGCCAGGGGATGACCAATGGTGGTTTTGGACTTCATTTATTGATGATATGTCGCCCCAATAATTTGAGGAAACTAGAATTTTAAGAAATATAAAATGTAAAAAGCACAGTTTCTTCAAATGATTGCGGTAGCCATTTTATATACATATGGTGGTGGCCATCTTGGATTTTGATGTGGCAACCCAATTTTGATGGTGATGTTTCTTACGCCTAGATGTAGTCACACACACATGGCTGTTGTTACCTTACTTATTTTTCAAGTTATCATTCTCAAAACACTGAAGAACATTTATGGCATCTTGGAATTTGATGTGGGAACCTTATTTTCAAACGGAATCTTTCTTTCCCCTTGATATAGTCACATATCAAAATGGAAGTTGGTACCTCTTTTATTTGCCAAGTTATCATGCTGAGAACATACACAAACAGACAGAGAGATGGACAAATTTATGAATGGACAAAGGGTATTTCCATTTACCCTTTTTCGGTCTATGACAGGGGACAAAACAAGGGGGGGAAGCAGTATGTCATTATATAGATATGAATTCAAAGTGTGTGACTGCTTACCTGTAAGGGTTGTGGAACTCAGTGATGTTGGTGAACCTGGTACTGGAACCTCAAATGCACAGAGAAAGCCACTGAAAGACAGTCGCACCTTCTGGTTGTCCTGAGGGAAGTTCTGAAATAAACAAATGATGTCTCAGACTTCACAAGTGCTGCAAGTGTGCACAAACAAAATCACAAGTGTTGTTAAAATTGTTGATGAAAATGAACTGGGTGTACACACAAACTGAAAATAATTACCAATATTCTGATGCAAGAGTGAACAGCTGCTAAACCAGAGACATTTAAAAACAGCATAAGCAGGTTCATGTAGAAAAATATTCTCAATATTTACCCACTTTCCTGCTGTATATTTCATAAAGTCTGACTTATACACACTCACACACACACACACACACACACACACACACACACACACACACACAC